GTATCTGTCCAGCTCTCTCTTGAAGGCAGCCAGGGGTTTATTGGCAATTCCCCTAATGCTTGATGAGTACACGGAGAGAGTGCAATAAGTGTTAAGGAACCACGACTCTTCAGCCCCCTTCCATGATGCATAGAGAAGATCGCCAACACCCCCCTTAGCTGTCTTTAAGAGGTAACTCGAAAAAAAATTCCCAAAACAGTTCCAGATCAGCCGGGTTGTGGTGCATACGTTGAACTGTAAATGGCGGGCACTAACAGCTTGATCGATCTAAAACAAAAGATTCGGCAGGGGGTGCATTATACTCCTAGTATAAAGCAGGGTATGTCGTGAGTACACTAAGAGATAATACACTAAGTGTCAGGGGCCCGCGACTGTTCAATAGCCTCCCATCATACATACAAACCTCCTGTTGTCTTCCAGAGAGAGCTGGACAGATACCTAAATCCAACGTACGAGCCACATCTAAGCTGTGGTTCGTACGTTGAACTGCGTGCGGCCAGCAGTAATAGCCTGGTTGATCAAGCCCTGACTCACCGTGAGGCCTGGTCATGGATCGGGCCGCGGGGGCGCTGGCCCCCGAAACACTAGGTAGCACCGCCATCAGTATACACACCACCACCACTACCAACACACAGCAGCAACATCTACAGCAGTACACAGCATCAACAGCAGTACACAGCAGCAGCAGTACACACCAGCAACAACAGCAACTACAGCAATACACAGCTGCAGCAACAGCAGTACCACAGCAGCAATACAAACAGAAAAAAACAGCAACAACAAAAACAGCAGTACACAGCAGCAACAGCAGTACACACAACAGCGGTCACACGGTAGACAGGAAGTGTGTGGCACCTTAGTATTTAAGAGACTGACAGTTGGCAAACCTGATGCCTTCTGTTTGTGGTGTGTGTTTGTGTGTGTGTGTGTGTGTGTGTGTGTGTGTGTGTGTGTGTGTGTGTGTGTGTGTGTGTGTGTGTGTGTGTGGTGGTGTGTGTGTGTGTGTGGTGTTGTGTTGTGGTGTGTGTGTGGTGTGTGTGTGTTGTGTGTGGTGGTGTGTGGTGTGTGTGGTGTGTGTGTGTGTGTGTGTGGTGTGTGTGTGGTGTGTTGTGTGGTGTGTGTGGTGTGTGTGTGTGGTGTGTGTGTGTGTGGTGTGTGGTGTGTGTGTGTGTGTGGTGTGGTGTGTGTGTGTGTGGGTTGTGTGTGGTGTGTGTGTGTGGTGTGTGTGTGTGTGTGTGTGTGTGTGTGTGTGTGTGGTGTGTGTGGTGTGTGTGTGTGGTGTGTGTGTGGTGTGTGTGTGTGGTGTGTGTGTGGTGTGTGTGTGTGGTGTGTGTGTGTGGTGTGTGTGTGGTGTGTGTGTGTGTGTGTGTGTGTGTGTGTACTCACCTAATTGTACTCACCTAATTGTGGTTGCAGGGGTCGAGACTCAGCTCCTGGCCCCGCCTCTTCACTGATCGCTACTGGGTCCTCTCTCTCTGCTTCCTTAGCTTTGTCATACCTCTTCTTAAAACTATGTATGGTTCCTGCCTCTACTACTTCACTTGCTAGGCTATTCCACTTGCTGACAACTCTATGACTGAAGAAATACTTCCTAACGTCCCTGTGACTCGTCTGAGTCTTCAGCTTCCAGTTGTGACCCCTTGTCCCTGTGTCCCCTCTCTGGAACATCCTATCTCTGTCCACCTTGTCTATTCCCCGCAGTATCTTGTATGTCGTTATCATGTCTCCCCTGACCCTTCTGTCCTCCAGTGTCGTCAGTCCGATTTCCCTTAACCTTTCCTCGTACGACATTCCCTTGAGTTCTGGGACTAGCCTTGTTGCAAACCTTTGTACTTTCTCTAACTTCTTGACGTGCTTGACCAGGTGTGGGTTCCAGACTGGTGCTGCATACTCCAGTATGGGCCTAACATACACAGTGTACAGTGTCTTGAACGATTCCTTATTAAGGTATCGGAAGGTTATTCTCAGGTTTGCCAGGCGCCCGTATGCTGCAGCAGTTATTTGGTTGTTAGGTAAGACACATATGCAACAGTTAGGTATCTTTATTATGAAACGTTTCGCCTACACAGTAGGCTTCTTCAGTCAAGTACAGAAAAGTTGATAGAAGCAGAAGATACTTGAAGACGATGTAATCAGTCCATCACCCTTAAAGTTTTGAGGTGGTCAGTCCCTCAGTCTGGAGAAGAGCATTGTTCCATAGTATGAAACAATATTGTTTCATACTATGGAACAATGCTCTTCTCCAGACTGAGGGACTGACCACCTCAAAACTTTAAGGGTGATGGACTGATTACATCGTCTTCAAGTATCTTCTGCTTCTATCAACTTTTCTGTACTTGACTGAAGAAGCCTACTGTGTAGGCGAAACGTTTCATAATAAAGATACCTAACTGTTGCATATGTGTCTTACCTAACAACCTGTCGGTATTTTATACCATTTTAATGTTCAGTTATTTGGTTGATGTGTGCCTCCGGTGATGTGCTCGGTGTTATGGTCACCCAAGGTCTTTCTCCCTGAGTGAGGTCTGTAGTCTTTGTCCACCTAGCCTATACTCTGTCTGCGGTCTTCTTTGCCCCTCCCCAGTCTTCATGACTTTGCATTTGGCTGGATTGAATTCGAGAAGCCAGTTACTGGACCACATGTCCAGCCTGTCCAGGTCTCTTTGCAGTCCTGCCTCATCCTCGTCCGATTTAATTCTTCTCATCAACTTCACATCATCTGCGAACAGGGACACTTCAGAGTCTATTCCTTCCATCATGTCGTTCACATATATCAAAAATAGCACTGGTCCTAGAACTGACCCCTGTGGGACCCCGCTCGTAACAGGCGCCCACTGTGATACCTCTTCACGTACCATGACTCGTTGCTGCCTCCCTGTCAGGTATTCCCTTATCCATTGCAGTGCCCTCCCTTTTACATGCGCCTGATCCTCCAGCTTGTGTGTGTGTGTGTGTGTGTGTGTGTGTGTGTGTGTGTGTGTGTGTGTGGTGTGTGTGTGTGTGTGTGTGTGTGTGTGTGGTGTGTGTGGTGGTGTGTGGTGTGTGTGTGTGTGTGTGTTGTGTGTGTGTGTGTGGTGTGTGTGTGTGTGTGTGTGTGTGTGTGTTGTGTGTGTGTGTGTGTGTGTGTGTGTGTGTGTGTGTGTGTGTGTGTGTGTGTGTGTGGGTGTGTGTGTGTGTGTGTGTGTGTGTGTGTGTGGTGTGTGTGTGTGTGTGTGTGTGTGGAGTGGGAGAATGGCAGATTAGGGAAGAGTGAAAATGGGGGAATAGTGGTGAAATGGGGTGGGGGGTTGTGGATGTGGAACGGTGGAGGAGGGAGATGGAGGGTGATGAGAGGGTGGTGGTGGTGGTAGCAGGTTGCTGAGTGTGGGGTGACCTTGTCGCACCCCTACTAACATCGTCGCCGCACATGATGGGGTCAACAGGGTCATCTGCAATGTTGCATATTACTTGTAAATGACCTGTGTGGCTCCACTTGTTCACCTGATGGACATGCAACCTACTAACTCCACAACTCTACCACAAAACACCATGGCACACAATAAAGAGGCATGTGAATCGACTCAATGGAAAAACAAATGGGTGAGTACAATGCCTCACTCAGGTGAGAGACGACACAACGAGACAGGCAGAGACTGAGGCAACCCATGATCACCCATTCATCACAACCCATGATGCCATGAAACAAACTCCTGATCGGAGGAAATGAACCTCTCCTCGCCCTGCAACAACAGCTTGGTTAACCTGCAACCGGCAGGCCTGGGTCTGGGACCTGGCCGCGGGTTGTGACCTGAAATCGTCACCAGGTGATCTGTGTTTGTTGGTCAGACACGTTGCAGCGCAACACAGCAAAGTGTTCTTGACCAACCAGGCTGTCCGTCCTCCTTGATGATAACGAACTTCTTCAAAAAAAATTCTTGTAAAATACTTGGGGAGAGGCAGTCTACCTTGATGAGAGACAGTCTACCTTGGTGAGATACAGTCTACCTTGGTGAGAGACAGTCTACCTTAAGAACGTAAGAACATAAGAAAGAAGGAACACTGCAACAGGCCTACTGACCCATGCGGAGCAGGTCCATGTCCCCCCCGGATTAGCCCAACGACCCACCCAGTCTGGTCACCTCCACTCAAGGCTGGAGCACGGCACCAGACCCAGCAGCACAAGCTAGTCAGGTCCAACTCACACCCACTCATGTATTTATCTAACCTATTTTTAAAACTACACAACGTTTTAGCCTCAATAACTGTACTCTGGAGTTTGTTCCACTCATCCACAACTCTATTACCTTGGTGAGAGGCAATCTACCTTGGTGAGAGGCAGTCTACCTTGATGATAGTCTACGTCAGTGAGACTGTCTAGCAAGCCAGACACAACTGGCTGTGGTGAAGCAAGGCATAGCTGGCTGTGGTGAAGCAAGTCACAGCTGGCTGTGCTGAAGCAAGGCACAGATGGCTGTGCTGAAGCAAGGCACAGATGGCTGTGCTGAAGCAAGGCACAGCTGGCTGTGGGGGGAAGCAAGGCACAGCTGGCTGTGGGGGAAGCAAGACACAGCTGGCTAGGAAGCAGCACAGTCACTTACCCAAGTTTGTGTCAGGGTATTAACAAGAGAGCACTTAGTATACCCATCGTGAGTTCCACAGTGAAGCCTCGCAGTATTATCTCACCCCCACCCAGTTTTCTCAGCCTCTACTCACACATGTGTGACCGATTACGTGAGTTCTACCCATACACCTTGGCCTGGCCAACCAGGCTGTTACTGCTAGGGACCCGCAGGCCCCGCATAGCTACCACAACCTGGTTGAGCAAGCACTTTCAACAGTTGGTATTCCAGTTACGTCTTGACAACACGGGTTTCCCTCACGACGGGGTGCACAATAAACTAGCCACCTCGGCGGCAAAAATCTAACGTAATCTTCGCATACAATCAACCGTAATGACACTGCATGTGGCAGGAACTAATATGATAAGCAGTGTAACATGCGCCCTGGGAGCGGGTACTCACCTGTAGCGCAGACGGTGATAAAAAACGTAGCGTGCTCCCGAACCAATCGCATTTCAGGCTCTGGGAAACTGAGGTGTAGTCGAGCGATGATCTGGTCGAGGAAGGCGTGTGGGGTGATCGCTGCCAGGTCCCACTTTAATCGTGACAGCACCAACAGCTCCCACTTCTGTAGCGAGAGGAAAATATGTTGTTATTACTCCGGCTACACCACATCACACCTTTTTAATACATAGGTCCCAATAATGGCCTTGCACTTGTCCATAAACCCACAGGTATTATTATTATCATTATGACTTATTATTATTATTATCATTATGACTGTTATTATTATTATTATCATTATTTTGTTCACTTTAAGCGCTAAATCCGGAAGGGAACCACAAACGTAGCTATGAAGTCACCATCACTAAACCACCACCACCACCACCTGACAACACGTCGAGAGGTCTACCCTCGTATAAAAAAAAGGCCTGAGGATAATCGTCCCAATTTACTGCCTGATAAACCAAGTTGTTGAAGTCGGCAGACCGTTTATGAGAGCAGCAGCAGCAGCGAGTCGTCAGGGCCTAGTGAACACGCAGAAGGCGGTACTATGCCAAACTGAAAGACAAGACTCGTGAAACCATGCTGAACCTGCATACGAAAACGTTGCTAGTGCTCAAGAAACCGGTAAGGTAACTCACGAAATCGTAATGACACGATTGCAAACACAGCACGGTACGGGTGGGGATTGAACTTGCGGTGAGCGAGTCGTAAAATACCGGGCCAGCGGTCGTGGTTGAAGGCGCGAGATATTATTATTATTATTATTATTATTGTTGCTTCAATTCCCAGTCTAATTACTATCATTAGTCTAAGGAGGAAGAGGTGGGGAGAGAGAGAGAAAGAAAGAAAGAGAGAGAGAGAGAAAGAGAGAGAGATAATCACAGAGTGCCAACCATCCGTCCGCTCTGGCCTGCCACTGTCACTACCTCGTCCGGTGCTGGTATTATGAACCTCCGTAGAGAGAACCTCACTAACCCACACGTCAGTCTAAGGGCTAACGTACTAGCATCGACAGCCTGAGAGCGCTCACGTACTAGCATCGACAGCCTCAGAGAGCTCACGTACTAGCATCGACAGCCTGAGAGCTCACATCCTAGCATTGACAGCGTGAGAGAGACCACATCCTAGCATCGATAGCGTAAGAGACCACATCCCAGCATCGATAGCATGAGAAAGACCACATCCTAGCATCGATAGTGTGATTGATCACATCCCAGCTTTGACAGCGTGGGAGACCATATCCCAGCATCCAGAGCGTGAGAGATCACATCCACCCTCTCCACACCTACCTCTGAAGAACCTTACTGACCTCTACACATCATATCTCTTCAACCTCTGTCTCCCCACCAACAACCTCCTTCCCCTTTAACCGGTCTTGTGAAGGAACTGGTTAGATAAGTACATTTGGTACTTCTAACCAGTTCTCCACAGGTCTCGAGGGCTATATCACCACAGCAGCCCGACCACAGATCACTTCCCAGCATCCACACCACAGATTTGTCCTATATAATGTTAAGAGTTTCTTGAACAATGGGTAATATACTCTTATGTGATTGTCCTGCTGTTGTTGCTGCTGCCGTTGCTATTGTTGGTACTACTGGTGTTGATGTTGCCACTGGAGGTAATCCCCACATGCTATCTATCTGTTTATTCCCGGAAACACGAGGCAAAGCTAGCCTGTCATGACATACAGATAGACAAAGTCAGCCTGATCGGTTTAATTATCGGGAGTGATTTCTCCATCTTTGTGCAAAATATAGTGAGTAAACACCATGTTTACTTACTGACAACAGTTGAGGGCCTTAACTGTGTGCAGATTTCGAACTAGTTCCTCTAGTACTTACTAGAGGCTAGACTGTAATATAGCCTTCTCATCGCCATCTTGCACAACTTCAAGAAGTTTAAACATCCTCAAGAGCGCAGATACTTGCGTCCATATGGCCAGCGAACGATCGTTCATTTCTTTTAGGTAAGGGGAATTATGGGAGCCTTAAACGAGGATGTTGGTATATAGAAATGTTACGCACCTCCCTGGCACTTGTTTATGTTCGAAATTCTCCTTACCAGTCGTTTAAATTTTGTTACGGTAAAGGTAAGGATGCGCGGCCATTTTTCAAAAGAGGCCTCCTAAATTATATATATACAAGAAAAGACATTATGGGATTAAGAACCAAGAACTACAACAACTGCTAATAATAATAATAATAATAATAATAATAATAATAATAAATAATAATAATACAATAAATCATTAATATTTAGATTTGGTTAACTGATGTCAACCAAATCTAAATAAGTTCCTTAGAAAAATTAGCTTATATATATATTATATATATATATATATATATATATATAATATATATATATATATATATATATTATTATATTTATATATATATATATATACAAGGCAAAGAGAGACCCTCTCGTCTTCGATGGCGTCAAGCTGATTTACAGCACATGACAAGCAGACAAAACATGAGAAATATTCTGACATGAGAGCGTGCATGACGGCACCCTCTCTCAGACATGGGCATGCATAACTAAAACTACTGTTAATGGGGTGTTTGTGTGGGGGGGATTACTGTAGCTACCACCCCTCACTATCCACACGCCTCAAAACGCATTCATCCATCGTATCTCCCAGAAATAGTGATGCTACCTAGGAAAGCTGGAGTCACGCACCTGCGCGTACTCGCTATGAGTGAGACCAGATCTTCGATGAATGAGAGAATTAATGAAATATACGTGGAGAGGAGGGAAGCTTAGGCTAGGGGAGACGGAGAGCTTCGGAGCAGCAAAACCCTCCCCCCTCTCCAGGCATGCATCACCACCACTAGCTGAGTGCTACTGGCACTCCAACACCAGCTAAGTGCCACTTAAACATCAACACCAAGTAAGTGTTTTTCACATGAACTCAACATATCAAGATGCAACACAAATCCGAAAGTTAGACGTGTCATTACACGTGCTGTGATGTTTACTTAGAGGTAAATAGGTACTTGGCCGTCAGACGGCTGCTGTGTCTAAAATACTGAGGAATGACAGCAAAACATTAAATGGCATGGGCTCTGAAGTAAATTAAGATAGAATAACACACACTAGCCTATAAACTGAACATTGTAAAAAAAAACAAAAATAAAAAACTGCGACCTTAATTAAGAGGCTTCGCTCAGTTCACTGGCCCTAGATTTGTTGCAGATATGGACTAGTTTGGTCCCTTAGTCCTTGGATTAACACACAGTCAATGTGGTTTGTGTCATATTTTTCCAGCGATCCATCGGGTATATTGGTCCGCATAAACACTGTTAATCAGTATTTCTGACTAGTTTTTCCTTAAGAATATCATGGCCCTGCTATCTAACGAACTTTCCGCTCAAAACCTCGATCCAAGTCCTCTTCTCTCATAGCCATGCATAATGGGAACCCTGGGTGGTTTGTAGCAGAGAGTGTCACAACATCAGTGAGATAACTGTACCCCATCACCCTCCATGAGGGCTGGGTACCAACGGTTTATAACAGGGAGTGTCATAACATTGGTGAGGCTCCTGTGTTCCCCTCCACCTGAGGTAAACAAGGTAATGACTTTCCAGACAGCTTCATTTGTCAAGCCGAGCACGCGGCTCCTGCCGTCTCTCCCCCTCTTGCAGTGTACCGAAATACCAATCACATGTCCAATATCCTCAGTGTCTCGTTAATGGAAGCGAGTGATCCTCACGTGACTACTGTCTCCTGTTGAAGATGAGACGAATAGTGGTGAGTCGCCTGCCTCTCTGCCTACCTTCATGTAGGCAAAGACACTTAAAGAGCCTTCGTTTGGGCAACGCTTACCTCTAAGTACATAAGAACATAAGACAGAAGGAACACTGCAGAAGGCCTACTGGCCCAAGCGAGGCAGGTCCAAGTCACCTACCGCCTTAAGTCACTGGCCCAACTTAGTCAGGTCAGGTCACGACCACTTAAGGTAGGAGCACGGCATCAGACCTATTATCATAAACATATATCACGAACAAGCGATATAAGATGCAAACAACCACGGGGGGAGGTGAATGTAAGCAGCCCCTCCTCTTAACACCAGTACATCACTGCTGGCAAGACAGTTAACACACAACACCACAAGCCTCAAATAATAATTATCTATTCAAGATTGATGGACTGACCACATCGACTCAAGGTTGAGGGACTGATTACCTCATTCTCCTCCTGTTCTTCAAGTTTATCCTTTGTATGGACTGATGAAGCCACTGTGTGGCGAAACGTTTCCTCAATAAAGATACAAAAGAGTTCCACATGTGTCTAATTTAACAACGTGTCGGTTCTTTGAACCATTCATCAATAATAATTATCTGACTGCTTTCCAGGGAGCTTGGTAGATTCTCTTTTCTGGTCACCCATTAATTTTTTAGCTATAATGTTTCTTTTACTGGAGAAGGATCCTCAGCAGCAGAAGCTGTAGTTCCCTGTAACTGCTTATTGCTTAGGGTAACATAAAGTAAGCCGAGAACCTTAGGTGAGAAATCTACTTAGAACTGGTAAGCAAAGGCTGATCTGAGTAGAGGTGTGGTGGGGATGGTGGTTGTGCCTCCTGGAGGAAGTGGGTGTTGTGCCTCCTGGAGGAAGTGGGTGTTGTGCCTCCTGGAGGAAGTGGGTGTTGTGCCTCCTGGAGGAAGTGGGTGTTGTGCCTCCTGGAGGAAGTGGGTGTTGTGCCTCCTGGAGGAAGTGGGTGTTGTGCCTCCTGGAGGAAGTGGGTGTTGTGCCTCCTGGAGGAAGTGGGTGTTGTGCCTCCTGGAGGAAGTGGGTGTTGTGCCTCCTGGAGGAAGTGGGTGTTGTGCCTCCTGGAGGAAGTGGGTGTTGTGCCTCCTGGAGGAAGTGGGTGTTGTGCCTCCTGGAGGAAGTGGGTGTTGTGCCTCCTGGAGGAAGTGGGTGTTGTGCCTCCTGGAGGAAGTGGGTGTTGTGCCTCCTGGAGGAAGTGGGTGTTGTGCCTCCTGGTGGAAGTGGGTGTTGTGCCTCCTGGAGGAAGTGGGTGTTGTGCCTCTTGGTGGATGTGGGTGTTGTGCCTCCTGGAGGAAGTGGGTGCTGTGCCTCCTGGTGGAAGTGGGTGTTGTGCCTCCTGGTGGAAGT